AAACAAGCATGCAGAACGGGTATCTGCGTACCACTCAATTTAGGAGATTCCGACGTCTGGAGTATGTGGCCATCAGCAACTGCGCTGGCCGGAATGTCATAGGTCTGCTGTAGACGCAAGATAGCATCTGTTGCACCGTCAATATCCTTCGTGCCGGGCAGCAGTTCGCTGTACCATTTGAGACGCAGGAACATCGAATGCCGTGAATCAAATTCATCGTACTGACTCGAAGGCGTCTCATTCTGCGCCAAGTCTTCGGACTCTTCCGCCGCCGCCGACTCCCCGAAGAGCGTGCTCAGTTCCTTAGACCAATCAGAGGCCATCTGGATGATGGTCAAAAACACCGACACCGGATTGGCTACTTGCTCCTCATCCAGTTCATTGTTCGTCAGAGCTGAGTAAGTGTGCGTGGCATTCTCCAGACGATCAATTATACCACGTAAGCGCTGAATACGGTCCTCCTCTCGTACCAGGTAGCCCTTCAATTCGTCTGCAAGAAGCCGGCCGGCGGCCACGGCCTGACCGATGTCGTTGATGGCCGTGAAGACCTCGGACGCATGACAGGAGATATCCGGGCCTAGGACTGTCAGGGATAGTAATACCTGCAGCGACAGCACAGAAACACACGTCACCATTGTAAGACGATGTCTGAGCAAATGACCAGGCACACAATTTAGGGCAGGTTCCTGTTTGGGCTTGGTTTGCCAGAATCTAGCACAGCAGCAGTTGATTGGTTGACCACTTCTGTTGGGTAAAATATCGTGGCAAGCGCGGATTCGGCCGTGCGGAAATAGGTAAATGCGGGAATAGCACATAGGCCAGTGACTGGGTATTGGAGGAAGCGGAGGCTGCGCAGCAGACCAATCAGAGCAGCTGAAACGTCATAGTAGGCCTGAAAGCATCCGTAGGGGCTATTAGTCTAGGCAGATAGTATTGCCGGGAAAGACAAGATGGGCTGGAATGGCTATTTTTGAATTAATAGCTAGCGTTCATTAATGAGTGGCAATATCTCCTGACCTAAACCGGCAAGCCAATGAGCTCGTGGCTCAGTGGTTCGAGTTCGAGCCTCGGGTGATGCATAACTTGAGGCTGGGTATAACTGGCCGGCGACGGCTAACAAGCCAAAAATAGTCATTTCGGTCTCCCTTGTCTTCGCCGGCAATACTATCCGCCTAAGACTCCGATCTGCTACGGCTGCTGTCAGGGCCCGAGTAATGAGACCCAAGGCAGAGCGGGACAAGTGACATCCGATAGCGGTCCAGGAACGTTCATAAACGAAATTCATTAGTTATTTTGAATGACAGCATAGTTTGCACACTGAAAGCGGTTTTGCGCCATCCCAGCTGAGAATAAAAATTTGGCTTTGAAGAAAACCAAAATCTTTTGTAGACACCCCAAGATATATATATA